TGTCTTGGTTAACTTAGTAAGCTTTGGCTAGTAGAGACAATTCAATGTTCTTAGAGGATTTGTATAACTTGAAGCAATCTGAAGCTTTCAATTTAGAGTTAAAGATCAAGAATAGATTTAATCTCTTTACTGCTAGTCTAATTACTGTAAGCTCTACAGGAGACATACCACAGTTTCAAATAATGATGCCACTAGCTCTTGCAGTCTAGGATTAGTCAAATAGTGAACTCGTGCACTATACCAAGGGCATTTCCCTTCAGGTTATTTGAAAGTCAGAGGCTCTACTGTGCTTGAGGAATTTCCTAGGCTTTAAAAAAAGGAGTCTATTCTCTAAGAGCTAAAGAGCTCAGAGTATTAACTGTAGGTTTGCTGCTAGCTGAATCCTTGAAAGTGTGTGTGGTGCTTGGTGGGTTGGTGTCCTTTTTGCTCTCAGAGAACCTCTCCTATTTATACCTTTCAGCCTGTTGTTCCTTAGCCAATAGCAAAACTGGCTCTTCTATTCTACTGTAATTACTAAGCTGCTTCTACTTTTATTAATAAGCATTTGTCTGTATTAGTCAGCCTTCTGTCTGTTTTACTAATGTATTGGTAAGCTATTGCTAATGTTTGTTAGAGTATTACTATATTTTGGTAATTCATAGCTGTTGAGCATAGACCTTTATTACTAAGCATAATTTAGATTACTAAGAAGCTGAGTCATATTATTAGTCGTTGATTCACTTTTAGTAAGCTTGAGTGTTTATGCTTGCTTTGCAACTCTGAGTAAGCAGTCTCTTTTTGATTTGAATACCCAGCTTATTCCTTTAGTTTTCCCATACTTATAGTTATGGCACATGACACTGTGGATGCTTGATGTTTCAGACATGCACCAAAGGGTGACGACCATGGTCGAAGACTCCACGGTGGCTGATGGCGGCAACGACGAAGTAATAGGCTCAGTCTTGGCAACTGCAGCGGAGGATCCTGCACCAGCTGATGATGACAATGATGCATGTTGCTGTGGCAGCACGACAATCTTGTGGTGAGGCAGAATCTTCTTGCAGACAGGAGCAAGAGGAGGCGGTGAAAAAGAGCAGTTGAGGGATGCTGGCATCTGAACAGCGTGCTTGTCTTGGGCAATAACAAGTAATGAGCCAGGACAATGATCTCTGGTGACTATGGCAGCCGCTTTGCTTTCTTCCTTGCTAAGCGCTGCTTGGGTGACCACTGGTAACGTTTGAGCACAAAAGCTTGTCGTGGCAGAGACTGGTGCAATCGATTTACGTTTCTCTCTGTCGAGCGAATTGTGCATCAATGAGACGGGATGAGATGCTGAAAAAGCGGCCATGGTGGTTTCCTTCCCCTTGCCCTTATCATGGGCATGGGGCTGCAGCGGAGGCAATGGACATTGGCTTGGTTGCTCATGCAAAGTGGGCATTGTGGGCATTGTGGGTATTGTGGGCATTGTGGGCATTGTGAGCATCAACGCGATGGAACGACGGGTAGGCGATGGCTGGTGGCAAGTGTTGCTGCCACTGAAGGTAGACAAGGTGTCTGCCATGGTCTTGGCCATGATAGCTGCGCGGTCTTCCTTAAACTGACTACGGAACATTTTTCCCAGAGTGCTGGTATAGCTATTAAACCATTGCTTGACCTCGACTTTGCACTCGCCCTCCTCACTGAGTGAACGGATATGCAGCTCACCCCCCTTGAGCACAGGGTGAGCTTCGTTGTACGGTACGAACAACTAGCTGCCCTGCCTGTTGTTAGCCGTGCAATCGTACCATTGGTATGAGAGAGCGGCCGGATAGCCGACCGGAGGCTGATCTATCTCCCAAGCCTTGAGGAGCTTGGCATTAATTTTGATGGCTAGCTCTCCATCGGTGCAAACGTTACCAGGAGGCACAGAATAGCTGACTAGATGAGGCTGTCCCTGGTAAGTGTGTAAGTATGAGACAAGGCTGATTCAAGGTGGGTGAGGGCCTACCTTCACGTTCTGTGCCTGCACCCTTGTATTCCAAATGACAATTTGAACCTTCTCGGAGACTTCCTCTTCTATCTTCTTGGCATTCAAGTTCTTGTTTTGCAATGACATCTTCTCATGCTGGTCTTGGAGATAGGACTCTGAAAATGACAACTTCATGTGTGTCTTGTAGACGCGGTCAGTCTTCTGCAGCCCTGGTGCTGTAAAAGCTGAGTTATCACATTGATTGGGATGGAGAGAAGCGTCAAGACATACTAGCAGCTGTGGCAGGTACTGCGGTAGCTGTTGATTTGGGCTGAGAGCATGTGAGAGACGGCGTGGACTCAACTGGGGCGCTTTGAGTTTGAGCACTCACGTCTGAAATTGAGAGATTGCATACAGACGTTGAGAGGACAAAATGCGAAAAGGCAAACAGAGACTTACCAACGAATATTGTAGAGATGGGCTGGCTCGTGCAGGGAACTGTCTCAGCAGTGACAGGTCCGGGCTGTGGGAGTGGAACAGCCAGGGTGGCGGCTGAGGGGCTGGTTGATGGGTTGGATGGGTGTTGGTTCATATTACCCCTCGAACGTGGGCTGTTCTTCTTCTTCTTCTTCAGGTGACTGTTAGGGGATGTGTCATTCATTTCCAGTAACTTGTGAATTGTGCATCCGCCTTGTTGCTCACACTGGAGCTTAGGCAGCTACCTCCTGCAGGCTGCTGTGACCTTGTCGCACCCCTTGCGCTTCTTTCCAGTGGTAGCATCGGCTGTGCTTGGCTGTGGTAGGTGTGAAACAGGCAGGGCGACATTCGACAGCTAGGAAGATGAAGGAGCTGTTGGATGGGGTGGTGCAGTGGCGTTCTGTGCATTGGAGACAGACAAGTTGGCTTGGGAGCAAGTCGGCATGGCACGGCAACACTGTGCGCAAGAGTACATGGGTGGAAGGAATGGTCCAGGAGTGAGGTATAGATTGTATGAGCGCGGGAGCCAGATGAACGACAATGGTTCAAGATAAGCCTCGCACTGCGTCATTGCATATAAATGGCTGAACAGCGCACAAGAGCGCACGGACACACCTTGAGAAAGTACCAACCCCTGTTATTTAGGTTACTCTTTCCCCAGCAGTATATTGGTTTTCGAAGCCGTTTGAGGTGGGTTCTACAAAGACGAGGGTCGTGGAGAGATCTCTTTGCCATCAATAGAGAGCCATTCTTTGCACAGTGCATTAGCAAGGGCATCTAGAAAACTAACAGGTTACGCATGAGCATGGCGCCTTGAGAGGCGAGGGGAGAGAGAGAATGAGGGAAAACGGGGTGACAAAGAGTTGAGAGAGCGAGTCCTTGCACATATATATATTCTCGGCAGCACACATCGCTGCCAAATGTTCTGGAAGGTGATAAAATCGAGAGTACCTTTCACTGCTGTCAAATAACAGCTTCAAAATGTTGCAATATATTCTTGGTAAGTACCACCCATTGTTCATCGATGTCGAAGAACACAGCGGTATTTGAAGCTGCATCTGAAGATCTTGTGAGACATTCTGTAGTTGGTACATGAATCACTATATTGGGATGCATGAAGCCAGAGGAATGGATGGGAGACGCGAAGCACAAGCGACATTTGAAGCCTTGTCTTGAAGTCTTACGAAAGATTCTTGATTTAGTACATCAATCACTATATTGGGAAGGAAGACACGCGAAGTGTGCGATGAGCACTTTACAGTATCTTATCTACAGGCACCCTATGAGATAAATTGGTCTGGGCGGTATGGAATGTTCCATTTGATGGGCAGAATTTGGAACGTTTGGCATGCTGAAGACAACAACTTTCTGCTAGATATATACCTTTACTTACCATGTAGTATATCTCATCCTTGTCCGACGAGAGAGCTCGATCCTGTTTGGCCTCTTGAAGAAGATCCTCAGTATGACTCTGGGTTATGACTCTGAGTTAAGAAAGTATGTTAGAATGTCCTTCTAGACCATGTGAAGGGCACTTACCGCTTCGGCGGCATCAACAGAAAATTTGCCCAAACCTTCTCCTTCATTTGAAACCCCTGCAAGCTGCTGCCTCATTCGTGATCACTTTTGGTGAGGCCTTTGTTGCTGGGCTTCTTGGGAAGGACCTTGGGCTTCCACTTTGTCCTCTTCTCACCATCTCCAATGACGATACCAGCTAGAGCAGGTTAGCTCCACCTGAAGCTTGCATATTTGAAAACTTATAAGCGTGACATACCCCTCCCTCCCTGTTTGCCACGCTAATTCGCGCAATTTATGTAAGAGCCACTAGCACGCTGATATCTTTCTAAAATATACCAAGTATGCATTTGAAAGACCCCTCCTACACCTGTAAGCCCTCTCCAAGCAATATGCCCCAGACGCTATCCTCCATCACAGTGATGGCTCCGTTATCTGAGTGTCATCCATCAGCCCTGCCATCAACACCGCCATCCTCTGATGGCACACACAGCACCATCACTCCCGCCTGTATGCTCGCTGTGGGCGACGACGACAACAATGCTTCCTCCATGTATGTACATCATTTTTATACCGTTTTTTCCCTGATTTTAAATGCAGTATATAGTACATGTTACTACTCTTAAAATACAAGCTACTCATTGCTAATAAGCCTAGTAATTGAAGCTCTTGGGCATGTAGGACGCGCAAAACTTGGGACCTGGCTCTGGTTTGTTTTTGCCACACACGGTCAGGTAAACGTGGGGCAAGGGTCCGGGTGATAACGTGGCCTTGGCGTCCCACCTATCAGTCCCGCTTACCAGCACTGCCCTCCCCTGATGGCACACCAGGCACCATCGTCTTCGCTCTTATGTTCGCTGCCAGCAATAATGATGACCCTTCTTCCGCGTGAACTGGCTGGCTGGTGCTGGTGGGCCCAGTGACTGAGGCCCGTCAGTGGGGCACACTCGAGGCTTGGGCATTGGGCATGCAGGCACTTGGCCCCGGTCAATTCCCGTAGCATGTCTGAAGCAACAACGTCCCTGCATCCGGTGCCATTAGTTTCCAAAAAAACACGCGCCCCGTGCCTGTCGCCATTGCTGATGATGGCAACAAGCCACACAGCACTGGGCACACAGTCAGCAATGCAAGAGAAGCCATGCAGCAATATAGTACCCTATTTGGCTGTGACAGTGCATGTGAGCAGCGCAAGAAGTGGCGGTGCGCACAAGAGG